AAGGGGCAAGACCGTATCTCAGAGAGCTGTGCCGCGAGCATTGCATCCTGGCTCTCGCGGCACTGCTTCAGGATCTCCAAGACGACATTGTAAGACGTATTCGGGGCGTGCGATATCTGAAGCGGTGAAACGGCCACCACAGTCGTGTTGACGAAAGTCCGTTGAGGTGTGTCATCCTGTGCATTCGCAGCCACATTGCGCACGCGTCGTATGATGCGACAATTGCTCAGTGGAGGGAAGGAGATAGCTTTCTCGTCGTGAACTTTTTTGAATTCTTGCATGCTGTCAATGCCAGTCAAGGCGAAGGCTGCCGCTTGTGATACGCCGACTTTGCACGAGCCACTGAAATCACGAGCAGTAGTCGTAAAGAACACGCGCTCGCCTGTGTTCTCCACCACAGAGTCGGCTGGCTCCGGTTCCTCAAGCCTCATCCCATTGACCTGCAACAAGAGTGGCAAGTTTGCATTCGGATCATCCGACGCCATAGCCAAAAAGGCACAGCAGGAGAGGAGTGCTTCTCCGGTGAGAATCTGCGAAGCCTGGTCTGGATCCCAAGTACCCGCATGAGCGGTGGTCAGCTGCTCCCGGTCCATCGCGAAGTCTTGAGTGGCTGCTAAGTCGTGTAGTTGAGTCATTCTGGGACAAGAGCATGCGGAATCCACCACGCGATCTTGCGACAAGTTCAGCTCCAGTTTGCCGTCGAATTTGCCCGCCACGTTGAGAAACAGCAGCGGTTGTCCTTTGTGAGAGCGACAAAGCTCTATGTTGGTGGATCCCCAGACTGCAATCACAGCCTCCGCTGTCTTGGAGTTACTCGTCTGTGTGCCGTCGACCAGATGTACACTTGCCACTGGAGGGTGGCCAGCGGGAGTGCGGGTTTCTGAAACAGAATGAACCACAGCCATGACATCGAAGCAACGCTGCGATTTGATGTTCATCATGTCTGCCACTGTAGTCGCTGGAGCCGGCGCCGATGCCAAGGAGGTCTCCTCCGGAGAGCTTTTGAGCACTGGACTGCAGGTTGTGCGCTTGAGGTCGACCACGACACGAACAGACGTATGCACAAAAGCGTCCTGCTGCCGACTGTCCAGGCCGACGCTGGAGAGTTTCCACGCCGTCATCGGAGGGAACTTTTTCAGAGCAGCTTGGACTTCTGCTGGAGTTCCTTTGAGGATGGCCTCACAATAGTGCTCTGAGTCTGTGCCAAGCAGAATGCATGTGAATCGGTTTGCATGGACTAGCTGGCCATTGTTCCTGCTCTTGTACGAGTACTTGATCTCCCTGGGCTTGTATACTCGGACAAGGAAGTCTTGGGTTTTGGCGCTGCTCTTCGTGAGAAAACCCAGTGGAGACGTCGGCTGTTCTGCAGCAGCAGCCATGGTAGCTCACCCGGAGGATCACCGTGGAGCGCACAGTGACACAGGCTGAGAAGCACCGTGCACGGCACGGTGAGACTGGTTGAGCGGATGCGGACAAGGCTCGCTTTTGCCGCGAACTCCTGCAATCCAAGTTCTTTGAACCAGAACGGCAATGATTACAGAATTGCAAAGTTACAAGTGATGCCTCCACGAAGCACCCCCCCTGTGGAGTCGAGAAAGCGTGTTGCTGTATGTGTGCGTGACTCGATGGATGTGATGTGTGTGCTGTGTGGCCCCGCCCCAAGAAATGTTTCGCTTCTCAAGGCCCCCCCCGCTCCACGAATCCCATTGGGGGGTCGAGATCCCCGCTGTGGTGGGCGGAGACGCCAAAGGCTTCGAAAACCGCGAGGGAGGGAAGGATAAGGGAGAAGAAAAGGACGGAGAGGGAGGGCTCGGAGGCCCTTGGAGGGGGGGATGTGCCCATCCGAGGGAACGGTGCACCCCCCCCTCCCCGTCGTGAAATCGAGGCACCAGCCGTGGCAACGACCCCCCCCCTATCCCCCTCCGCGACCTGAGTAGACCACCCAGGCCAGCGGAGGACGTCATAGGGGGCGGGGGTTCTGACTTCGATGAAAGAAGAGAAGGAAAGAGGGGGGGAGGATCAGGCAGACGAAAGCCCTTTTAGGCTTTCCCCGGCGTGTGGAAATGCCCTCTTTGGCTTTTGCGGGGACTAACCCGCGCGGTCGCCCGCAGGCGACAGGGCGCCCAGGCCCTCTCCGCGCGCGCAGGCGCGTGGCAAACTACATGCGCACGATCGCCCGTGGAATCGAATGGAACCGTCCGCGGCGAGTCGTCCGCGGCGACTCAGGACCACGTCGCCCTGGAAGAAGAGGCGCTACAAGGATGCATTCTGCGACGCTGGAGATCCTGATGCGACGAGGACGCTGCAGAGAAACATTCTGCGCGCGTACGCACGACCTGGAACGACAAGCACAATACTGGAACAAATTCGGTGACGCTGGACTCCCCGATGGGACGAAGAAGCAGCAGAGACACGTCTCAAGGCGCAGCAACACCGAAGTGACGCAAACGCACCCCGCGACACGACAAGGACGCTGCAAGAAGAAACTCGGCGACGCAGGAGTGCGTGGAAGCTACAAAGGCATGGAAAGGAAGCTACGAGGAAACTACAAAGTATTCAAAGCGTCTCGAGCTTAGGGAGCGCAGAGACACGTCTCAAGGCGCAGCAACACCGAAGTGACGCAAACGCACCCCGCGACACGACAAGGACGCTGCAAGAAGAAACTTGGCGACGCAGGAGTGCGTGGAAGCTACAAAGGCATGGAAAGGAAGCTACGAGGAAACTACAAAGTATTCAAAGCGTCTCGAGCTTAGGGAGCCTTCCTCAGAGCCCTTGTGCGCACGACTCGGGGCAGCCGGCCGCCCTCCCCTCCTGTTCGTCCACCTCCTCGTCCTCCTCGTCCTCGTCTCCTGCTCGTCCTCCTCCTCCTCCTCCTCCTCCTCCTCCTCCCTCCTCTTTCTCCTGCTCCTCCTCCTCCTCCTCCTCCTCCTCCTCCTCCTCTTCCTCTTGCTCGTCCTCGTTCTCGTCGTCCTCGTCTTGCTCGTCCTCCTCCTCCTGGTGCTCTCTCCTCCTCCTCCTCCTCCTCCTCCTCCTCCTCCTCCTCCTCCTGGTGGTCCTCGTTCTCCTCCTCCTGGTGCTCTCCCCCCCCCTCCTCCTCCTCGTCCTCCTCCTCCTCCTCCTCCTCGTCCTCCTCCTCCTCTTCCTCCTCCTCCTCCTCCTCCTCCTCCTCCTCCTCCTTCTCCTCCTCTTCCTCATCCTCCTCCTGGTAGTCCTCCCCCTCCCCTCCTCCTCCTCCTCCTCCTCTTCCTGGTCGCCCTCGTTCTCGTCCTCCTCGTCTTGCTCGTCCTCCTCCTCGTGATGTTCTCTCCCCCTCCTCCTCCTCCTCCTCCTCCTCCTCCTCCTCCTCCTCCTCTGTGTCCTCCTTCTGGGTTCTCCTCGCTCTTGGTGCTCTCCCCCCCCCCCCCTCCCCCTCCTCCTCCTCCTCCTCCTCCTCGTCCTCCTCCTCCTCCTCCTCCTCCTCTTCTCCTCCTCCTCCTCCTCCTCCTCCTCCTCCTCCTCCTCCTCCTCCTCCTCCTCCTGGTACTCCTCCCCCTCCCCTCCTCCTCCTCCTCCTCCTCTTCCTGGTCGTCCTCCTCCTCCTGGTCGTCCTCCTCCTCCTGCTCGTCCTCCTCCTCCTCCTGCTCGTCCTTCTTCTCCTGCTTCTCCTGCTCCTCGTCCTGCTCCTGCTCGTCCTCGTCCTCCTGGTCTTGCTCGTCCTCCCCCTCGTCGTGCTCTTGCCCCTGCTGAAAATGTAGCCCAGGAATGGGAGTTTTGGGAAGTCGAAGAGCACGAAGTTGCCTACAGTTGGCTACGGGCATTCAAAATGTGGCCCGGGAATGGAGTTCTGGGAACTCGAAGAGCACGAAGTGGCCTACAGTTGGCTCCGGGCATTCAAAATGTGGCCCGGGAATGGAGCCCTGGGAATGGAGTTCTGGGAACTCGAAGAGCACGAAGTGGCCTACAGTTGGCTCCGGGCATCCAAAATGTGGCCCGGGAATGGAGTTCTGGGAACTCGAAGAGCACGAAGTGGCCTACAGTTGGCTCCGGGCATCCAAAATGTGGCCCGGGAATGGCGTTCTGGGGCGAAGAGCACGAAGTGGAATCCGGCCCCCCAGAATGTCTGGGATGGGTCGAAGAGCACTTTGTGTGTGACTGTTGCATCCGGCCCCCCAGAATGTGGCCTGGGAATGGAGTTCTGGGAAGGCGAAGAGCACGAAGTGTGTGACTGTTGGTGAAAAACGAGCCCGGCTCATGCCGCCCGGAAACGCCCCAACACCTGCCCGGACCCCCCTGTGGAGTGATCTGTGAGCTCTTTTGACACTACTAGAAACCTATCAGTCTTCGCTGTTAGGTAAATACAAGGTGCGAGCGTCGAGGGGCACACTTTGATTCAGAAAAAAACAATATGCACCCGTGGGGGGGATCAACAATAATTATTCTTCAGAAATGAGAATTCAACAAAAACAACAACAAGCTCCACGTCAGCCACGCGCCCAGGGACAGTGAATGACCGTTCGGCCCCCTCACTCTGACTCTCGAGGGAAGCAAGGTGCTTTTCGGCAGGGGTCCCAACTGTATGGGCCACCAGTGGGCCAAAAGCCTTGGGCAACCAAGCCCACGCCCGGGCGCCACCGCGCGAACGCCGCGAGGGGCTGTGCAAAAAGCGGGTGCCATGGGCAACAAACCAACAACTCCTGATCACATCATCTCAGCTGTCCCCAATGGGGTACGCGCACCACATCGCGCCGAGTACGGGCCGCGCAGCGTACGAGAGGCCTCCGACGTACAACCCAGGCAAGGTGGCAGGATGGGCCCAAAGCCACTATCGTAGGGTTCACAACCTTTTTGTTGCCCATAGTTGAATCATTGAGCCTGCCGCCTCACTGATGGAATGCTTCTCGGTTTCCCCTGTCGCCCTTGCTCTTCTTCCGCTTGACTGCAGCAGTGAGGACGCATCCGTACCTCAAACTTGGAACCTCGAGCTCTCCTCGCCCTCCTCGTCCTGCCCCCACCCTTCCCTCCGTTCTGATATTGGAACATGCGCCCTCGAGGCCAACAACACATGGGATGTTGTACTCTGGGTCGCGCGCAGTGACTGCCGCGTGGCTGAGGGTGCCGCCACACTCGGTGACGATCCCCGCCAACATCGTGAAGAAGACGGTGAGGGACGAGTCCGTGTCTGGCATCACGAGGATCTCTCCGCGGGTCAAGCCCTCAATGCCCACGCGCGCCTTGCCAATCGTGGTGCCGGCATATTTCCAAGTGGCACAGCCTCGGAAGTGCTCGCTCCCCGGGAGCTGCGGGCGGTCCGCCTCTCCGCACGTAGAGGTCGGAGGACGCTGCACCACACTGCTCCCGCGCTCGAGATCCTGGAAATTGGCCAAGACCTGATGACTGGCACTGCAAAGGTAGGCACAACACTGCATGCGCGCCCTCATTTGCAAACCTGGACCGGCCACTCGAATCCTCGCCTCCCCCTCATCCTCCTCTCGAGCTGTCCGCAATGGATAATTCAGAGAAAGACGAGGAATAAGTGAGAGAGAGAGGGAGAGAGAGGGAGAGAGAGAGAGAGAGAGAGAGCGAAAGGGAGAGAGAGCAAGAGAGTGACCAGTGATCGAGCGAGGATACATACATATATGAGGAGAGAGAGAGAGAGAGAAAGAGACAGGCAGACATGGAAACTGGCTTGATAGCTGAGAAATAACAAAATCATGCTGCCGTGCTGGACTGAACATATCGAAACCACGTTGGCCAGCACTTCTATAATGATCAATCGTGCCAACTCTGCTGCCGAATGCCCTCCGACGACACATGCGCACCATCTGAACATCAATATCGCTGTCGATCTCCAATCCGTGGCGTATTCTGGCACGCATTTTCAGAATCGTGTGGTGCTCGTGACTATTTCCGTGTACCATGGCAGAAGCACGGTACTTATTCTCGTAAGAATCGCCAAACTTGCGAGAGTCCACATGCGCACGGAACCAAAGCTAGAAGCGTGGTGCAGAGTCGAGTGGAAGTCGCCTGAAGAAAGCCGACAACGCTGTTCTCTGGCAATATGCGCCCAATTGCGTGAAGGGCAACAACTGCGATTCGTAGGGCCCACCGTTTGCCACCACCTCCCATGACGCCCTCCACCGCAGCACTGCTCTCTGGCAAACAAGCCCTTGTCCTCTAAAACGAATGGCTCTGCCTCAACCAACTGCTCATCCCAGCAACCATGGCCTGCGGAGGCGCTTCACAATCTTGCCACATGTGCACTTTCGTTTGCACCTAACTCTTTCACCACGCGACTCTGCATTGCCACAAACGGCGCACCCCTTCCAGACCCACCGCGCCTGAGACCGCTCCAGTGCGAGGGCGCGGAGGCAACTCCTCGGGCACGTCGACCACAGCACGTCGCCAGGCCTGCCCTCTCTTGTGATTGGAAGGCTGGCTGCGACAACAAACGACGTGCACTGAACATGTCGCCCAATCGCCACACAACGCCTCCAACGCCTACAACACGACCGCGAAACCTGCCCAGAGATGCATGCAAATGGGCCCACTATTGGCAAGGAGCTGCTCACACGTCTGGCATTGACAGACACATGATGTCGTTCTATCTTGTTGCATGTGTGGGCTTACGCGCAAATGCCGCTCACGCAATCGACAAATCACTCAATTCGTCTGCGGAACGTTGCGCATCGGACAGACTAGAGCAAATTTCGTGCGCGTGCATTCGGCGGCCATTGCCAGGCCGACAATGCCCGAGATCGGGTGCGTTGCCGAGTTGCCATCGTAAAACCTACGAATGGCTGCGAATAACGGTCGTATGTGGCCCAGAACGAAGCTGGCCGAGGTCAGACTATTAACCGGCCCTACCGAAAAGGCGGGTGGGTGGGTGGCGGACAAGCGTGTCCTGGATAATATCGCAGTAAAGAAACTACTCCCAGCCGGAATCAAAACCGTTGACCAGAACAAGAACACGTGTCAAATGATATCCAGGTTGTTTTCTTTGGGTCAATCGTGGATGGTCGCTGCCTTCGGGTATGAATTGAAAAGTCCTAGGCGGGAATGCAGCTGCTTTAGTAAACTCGGAGTAAATCTTCAGTCGGGATCAACTCCGCCTGGGAAAACTCGGACGAAGCTCAGGCAGGCGCAACGTCCTCTTGTAATTCGTTCGAATCCTGCGGCGGCCCATGAACAGGCAGCAAGCATTCTCGCACGACGACATGACAGCGCAAGGACAAGTTGGGCCATCGGCCAAGTTTCTGTGGCTGACCACTGTTCAAATCCTCTTTAACCTTGTCGTCCTTATCCTGCTGCTGCTCTGTTCAAATATTCACAAGGACCAGGCCAGATGACGCAGACTGAGCTCTACGAGTCCCTCGAGGACGTGGCGCCCACGGTGGTGCGGAAAACTGCACGTAAAGTCTATCGGCGTGGACTGGACCCCGACCTTGCCTACGGCGAGGACGTGGCCGCGAACACCGTCAAACTCACAGACCCCCCACGAACGCAAATTCCAGCAACACCCCACGTGGTCCTGGCACACTCTCTCTACGACCGTGGAGAAACGCAGTCCCGGAAAAGTTTCCCATAACGCAAAAAAAAGCAGCCACATGCATCAAGAGCATGAACGGTCTTAGCGTCTAGATGCCATTGTGGCCTTCGCTCCCTCTTCCCTTGTTTCAGATCGGAAGGGAGCGAAGGGGAACGGAGGCCATGTAAGAGAAGATTCTTCGCAGGGTCCGCGGGGATTTCCCCTCCCAATCGCCAGCCGAATACAAAGCTGACGACCGCTGGGAGAACGCAGAAATCGTGGAAAGACGAACTGGTCAAGCTCTCTTAACATGGAGTTGTCCGATTCAATGGAGCTGTCACATTCAAATGTCTTGGCGTAATCGCTGCGCAGCCATTCGGGTCAACAAAACGAGGCTATAGTTGCAAGCAGCGAGCCGCCTGAAGGAGAAAGCGCATGATGGCCACCCCAATCATGTGCATATGGCGGAGCAGCATGCAGAACTCAAGAGGGACGGACTGCTGTCGACTTCCTCAGAACAGAATCACTAGAAAACCATGTTCAAGAACCCGACATGATCAATTCCGCGTTGGAGCCACCGCTGATACACCACTCGGAGAGTTACAAGGCAACGGCCATGACATCGTTCGCCTGAAGCGGCGGTAAGCGAGACATCGGCCGAGGAGACGGGATATGCGGAGGCCATCCACCAACTGGAAATCGAAGATGGGTACAAGTGGATTGGCTGCGACAGCCAAACCTCTGCGTCGAGGGCGCTCCGTCAGGCGTGGAAACAACCTGCCAGCCGTAAAGGGACCGTCGATGTGTTCAACCAAACCGAACGCGTAACGTCAATCGGGGAAATCTGATTACTTGCCTCAAAGCCATCATTGCCCTTTACTTGGCATTGGTAACTTGGGAGGGCGGGATTTTCCGCAATTCTGGCGGGAGTCAAAGTTGCGGGATGAAGAAAGCGTTCTGGGAATGGGAGCATCTGTGCACTCGGTGATCTAGCCACTTGCAGCTATTGGCTCGAGTTTGATGTATACGGATAATTATAATGGCGACGTGCGCACAACAATCCCACATGACCAAGATTGGTCGCCGGCGCCCGACTGGAAGGTCGATTTCACGGGTGCTCCCGCCACCCCGCTTTCGCCACCCCGCTGTCGCCACCCCGCTTTCGCCACCCCACTTTCGCCACCTACTTTCGCCACCCCATGTTCGCCACCCCGCTTTCGCCACCCCACTTTCACCACCCCGGTTTCGCCACCCTGCTTTCGCCACCCCGCTTTCACCACCCCGCTTTCGCCACCCCGCTTTTGCCACCCCCACTTTCGCCATCCCACTTTCGCCGCCCCATTTTCGCCACCCCGCTTTCGCCACCCCCTTGTCGCCACCCCACATTCGCCACCGCATTTTCGCCACCCCACTTTCGCCACCCCACTTTCGCCACTCCACTTCCGCCACCCCACTTTCGCATCCCCACTTTCGCAACCCCACTTTCGCCACCCCACTTTCGCCACCCCACTTTCGCCAGCCCCGCTTTCGCCACCCCCACTTTCGCCACCCCACTTTCGCCACTCCACTTTCGCCACCCCACTTTCGACACACCGCTTTCGCCAAGCCCCCCCCGTTTCGCCACCCCGGTTTCGCCACCCCTCCGCTTTCGCCACCCCCTCTTCGCCACCCCATGTTCGCCACCCCGCTTTCGCCATCCCACGTTCGCCACCCCGCTTTCGCCACCCCGCTTTCGCCAACCACCCCCTTTCACCAGCCCCGCTTTCGCCACCCCACGTTCGCCACCCCACTTTCGCCACCCCCACTTTCGCCACCCCACTTTTGCCACCCCACTTTCGCCACCCCCACTTTCGCCACCACCCCCTACCCCCCTCCCCCCTTTCGCCACTCCACTTTCACCACCCCACTTTCGCCACCCCACTTTCGCTCCCCCCCTTCTTCTTTCGCCATCCCCCTTTCGCCACCCGCCTTTCGCCCCCCCCCTCTTTTCGCCGCCCGCCCCACTTTCGCCACCCCCTCCTTTCGCCACCCTGCGTTCGCCACCTCGCTTTCGCCACCCCACTTTCGCCACCCCCGCCCCCCTCGCCACTCCACTTTTGCCCCGCTCCCCCCTCGCCACTCCACTTTCGCCCCGCCCCCACCTCCGCCCCCCCTTCTCCCTTCACTTTCCCCCCCCCCCTCCCCCCTTTCCTTTCGCTCTCCCCCCCCTTTCGCCGCCACCACACTGTCGCCACCCCCACCCCGCTGTTGCCACCTCACTATCGCCACCCCCAATTCCTGCTTCGCCACCCCACTTTCGCACCCCCCCCCATTCGCCACCCTCTTTTTCGCCACCCTCTTTTTCGCCACCCTTCCTTCGCCACCCCACTTTCGCCACTCCCCTTTCGCCACCCCGCTTTCGCCACCTCACTTTCACCACCCGCCTTTCGCCCCCCCCCCACCCCCCTTTCGCCGCCCCCCTTTCGCCACCTCCTCCTTTCGCCACCTCATTTTCGC